TTTTTTTTTTTTTTTTTTGTCCTTTTTGAGACCGGCCACACCATGCTCAGCCAGTGAGTGCTGTGAGCGCACCGGTCATCCCTATATAGGATCCGAACCCGCAGCGGGAGCGCTGCTGCACTCCCAGCGCTGCACTCTCCCGAGTGCGCCACGGGCTCGGCCCATTGTTCATATTTTTAAAAATGTGAGGATTGTTGTTACAGAAGTCAACTCAGTTCTTGAACTCCTTCTGAATTATATGCCAAAAAATTAACTAGCGGTCTTTATTTTTATTTAACTACTACTTAGACACTTGAATAGGCCCTATGATTTAGTTGATAGTAAAGACCCTCTCTGACTGCGAAATGGTGTTTTCCCCAGGAAAAGTCAGTCGTTGTTGCAACATTGACCACCAATATTAGGAAGGGCCCCTTTATTTGGAAGCCATTTATTTTGGTGAAAGGTGAGCCTTTCTAATTTAATTTATGAAAAGGGTGATTATAAAGGTGAATGTGGGAAAGATAAATCCCATGATTCTAGGTGAGTTCTCAGGCAGAACAATTTTAGGAATAAGGATACTTAAACTGAACTTCTGGAAGTTACCTTAAAACTATCTGTTCTCAGGTGAGCTCCTTGGAAAGCTTCATGTAACCCCAGCCGTACTCAATCTCATTTTAAAGATGACTGATCTAAATACCCCTCATTCACCAGAGCCAGATGAATTCTTCCTCCATAACTCATTTTTCCTCCTTAATATCTTTAGAATGTGTCCACTTTTTTATGCACATATTATTTCAGAACCTCCTTGATGTTCTAGTAGATTGCCATAAAACCTTCCTAATCTTCCCATTTTTTAATCAAGCTTTGACATTGCTCCTTCGGTACTTTTCCTAAAACAGAAATTTGATTCATGACACTGTCCTGTCTAGAAGTCATCAGGGCCTCCCCTAAAGACTTCAGGATAAAGTGTAGACTCTTCAGCAGTGTATAGAGAGCCCATCATGATTTGACTCCTACTTACCTCCCAAATTCATGTCTTCCCCCTGCTACTACTGTGCACCCTCCCTCTACCTCTACATGCAGATTCTCAGGGAACCCTGTGTTCCAGTCACCCTAAAACATTTGTAGCCTATTAATTCCCCATATTCCTGGGACTTCATGCAGGCTCCTTCCTCTGCATGGAGCGCTTTCTCCAAATCTTGTAGTCTGGCTTCCTCCCATGTAGGAGTAAGTTTCAATGTCACTCTTTCTATTAAGCATCCCCTGGCCATCCTAACAGCGCTGTGTGATTTTCACACCACACTTTTTTTTTTTTTTTTTGGCGGCTGGTCATTATGAGTTCTTGACCTTGATGTTACCAGCACCAAGCTATAACCACGTGAGCTGACCAGCCAGCCTTCACACTGCACTTTTAACATCTGGGTACTGACCCACGTTCCCTCCTAGACCTTAAACTCCACGGGAGCTGGATCATGTCTTACTTGCCTCATATTCCCAACATCAAATACATAGTTGGCACATAATAGGTGCCCATTGATTGTTTGCTGAGTGATTTAATCACTCAGATTTGTCTGATAATCCCTACTATAGGTACAGATTAATTATGTCTTATAAATACAAACACAGGACACTTTCCTCAGCCCCAACTCCACCTGTTGCTGTTGTTTTCTCTGATACCCTTTGTTTCCATATGCCTCTGGTTCTTGTACTCCAGTAAGTTCCCACACTATTGAGCCTGGTACTTTCATCTTGACCCTCATCCAAAATATGGCTTACAAGTCTCTGAAGCACACTTTTCTTCACTAAGTGTCAGGATTACTCTAAAATATTTTTGAAAGTTTTTTGTCCCTTTGTAAATTTTAATGTTTATTCCACTTGGTACCATGAAAGATAGGAAAGGGTAGATTTTTTTGAAGGTTTCAGAGATGAGTAAAACATTGTCCTTGCTTAGGTTATGAAAGAAATAGGCAACTGTCCAACTATCTCTAACAGAAGTGTTATCATTCATGCACAAAGTGCCATGGCATGTGGAAGAGAAAGCTTCCTGCGGTGGTATAACTGGCGTAAGGTCTGTAATGAGCAACATTTGGGAAAATTACTACAATCAATCTGTTAATTTTTGATTGATGCCTAAAAATGAGCATTAGGTCCTATTTCTTATCCCTGACTCCTGTTGTTTTATTTCAGATACAACATGCATTCTAATCCTCTCAAGAGGAAAATTACATGACTATAAAAAGATGTAGATGCACACAAAAAAATTATATTGCTGCAAATCAGTGAAATCAAGTGTTCTAATTGAAGTGCTAGGCTGACCTTAATCAGGAAATAATATTTCTGAAGGCATGAATAAATTAATACCTATAGTGCTAGCAACAGGCTGCTACTTTTTCAATTTAAGTGAATTTCAAATTGTTTTCTTTAATAGATGGAAATACTGATGAGTACTTTGCTATTAATGAAACGTCAGGAGAACTCTCAACCATCCGTGCTTTGGACCGGGAGCAAGTCAACAATTTTACCCTTGTCATACAGTGCTCCGACCTAGGGGATCCACCTAGGAGCTCTGTAATACAGTTGCAAGTTAGGGTTTTGGACGACAATGACCACAGCCCTTCCTTTCCCACACTTTATTACCAGTCCTCTGTGAGAGAAGATGCTGAAGTGGGAACGGTGGTTCTTGTGCTCTCTGCTGTGGACAAGGATGAAGGCCTGAATGGGCGAACCGAGTATTTTCTGGTGGATGAGGCTTCCGGTGCGTTTACCATTGATCCTGTGGGAGGCATTCTGAGAACGGGCCACACTCTTGACCGAGAAGCTAGATCTCAGCATACTTTTAGGGCTGTGGCCAGAGACTGCAGCACCCAAGGCTCAAGGAGTGCCACAGTAATTATAAAAGTGTATGTCACTGATGTCAATGACAATGATCCAGTTTGGGAGCAGAACCCCTTTGATGTTTTTCTTTCCCCCCACTCACCTACAAACCAGACAACTGCCATTGTGAGAGCCGATGACCCAGACTTGGGGCCCAATGGAACTGTCGTCTTTAGTTTTGCAGACACCCAGTCAATGTTTTCTATTGAAAAACATACAGGAGAAATTCAACTTCAGCAAAATCCATCTTTGGAATATTTTCCTATCTGGCTGCAGTTAAAAGTTGCCGACCAAGGGGTCCCAGCCAGGACAGCCACTGGTCTCTTGGTCATTCACATGGAAGGAGAAGATGTAAAGATTTCCTTCAGTCACCATCTTTATAAAGGGCTTGTGACTGAAAATTGTGAGGCAGGTGAGTTCCTTCAAGTTTATTGTATATTGAACCTATTTTGTCAAGATGCTTAAAACTGTGGATTATATGATAACAATGCTTTTGCAGATTGGATTATAAACTTTTGAATCCAGCCAATTCTTGGTATTGGAAAGTCATGATTGATATGGTTAAGAATAGCCTGGTCTGCGAGAAAATGTTAGGGCACAAGGCAGTGAGGATCCAATTACTTCTTCTTACCTCTAAAGGTGGACCCTCACAGTTAAGATTCAGTCAGACAGCTAAGGAGTAAATAGACAGGAAGCTTTCGTTTTCATATCGAGTTTTCTTAGCCCCTGGCCAGAGCCATCCTTCTTAATTCCCTTATATTTGGAATTAACTAAATTTGGCTTTTACCTTTTTAATAGAACTTAACACTCTAAAACTTTATTTATTAAATCTTACACACAAAGAAGGCTAGAAATACTTCTGGAAGTAACAAGCATATGGTATCATAAATGTTCAGATAGGTGTACATTTCAAGACCTCTGAAGCAATGGGGTGGGACCTCTCTTTGGAGAATAAATATGACCTGTGTGAAGACCATAAAGTCTAAGTTGGGATGTAAACCGAAAGTTGCAGATATAACAGGAAAGAGAAAGGGATAAGGTAAGAGTGGCAGTTAAGGAGGATCCTGCATCTGATTATGCAACTAACCTATACCTGGGTTAGCATTTCCTAGACCCCTGTGAAAAACAATGACAATGTGCATAAAATATTGATTGACATTCTGGCTGGCCAAAGCTTTTCCTGGAACATGAATTTATTAGACTGTGAGATCATATCATAGACACCAGAAGTTAGTTTTTCCTTTTTTTTTCTGAATTTCAGTGGTTTTAAAAGATTGCAAATACCTCAATTCCAGTGTTAGAATGGCCTTGATATAAATTGTTTAATAGCATTTTATGGCTGCCTGCATGATTTCTCTTCCAAATACACCTGCGATTTTAACTTTTATTTTCAAATGAAAAATGTATGCCTATTGGAAGCTTAAATTTTCTGTGG